TTCCGTGCCCTTCACTACGTTCCTTTTCAGAGGTGTGCATTTGTACATGAATCCTGCTCATGCCTTCAGCAGACTATGGTGCCGTATATCCTTCGATGAAATACTTGTCGGGGTTCACCCTACACTCCTTGGGTGCTACTCCAACCTCCTAGCGGAGTCACATCCTTCTTCGGCGACATACTTTTGCTCCTTAGAGAGCTCCACCGCTCTCGCTTTACTCACCTTCCTTTGCTAATCTCACTCCCTTGTGCAGCTGCATGTGCCGTTGCGGTAATCGGTATGTAACTGCCTATTGTCGGCCTGTCGTGCCCTACGGACCCCTCTGTTTACCTCTAGATCCTGCTTGGTACTTTCTTTCGAGCATCTCTAACACAAAGTTTTGCTTAGACAAGTAGTTCCTAGTGCCTCTGTGGATTCTAACTGTGCATTATACAATTCTTACCTCGACATCCCCTAGTTTACCAGATATCATCCTTGTCTATGTACTGTAACTTCTAAGGTGGTTCTTTGATTTACAGTAAGACTCAAATTGTACTATTAGTCCGTATCGTTCCAAGAGCCTATTGCTAACCTCTTTGTTCAATGTACCTGGGTACCATTTAAATATGTACATACTCTCTTCCCCTTCGATCTCTCAATTTCGTCAAGAAGAATCTCTCATACCACGTTAGTAACGCACTATGCTTATGATATCATGATATACATCTATAATTGTTTACGCTGACTTGTTCTTTGTGTCCTTACTTGCTTTCTAACCTTCGTTTTAGTCTCTTTCAGTATTTTCTAACTGGGACATTGCGAACTACCTAACTCTTCCTTTTGTCTATGCCTAGAGGAAGGGCGTATTTCTTGTAGCATTATATATACTTGCCCCATCTACCGTAGGAGCAACATTCCTAATTCTATTCCCGATTGCTTCTATGCATACAACCCCTTAGATCTTACTCTCTATATACACTGGTTCCATTTCTCTAATGCAATTTCTACTGAGCATCCTCTAACAAAAAAAATAATTACAGAATAGGGTTCTAACTCGATATCTAACCCACAATTTCATCCATACTATTTGTTTCTACAACATATAATCACCAAACTACTTTGTACCATCGTTTCTACTTAACTGATCGTCTGGCTGGACCCTCGTCTTGGCCGTTTGGCCCTTCGTGTCCTGCTCATTTCGTTCTTGTACTTCAGATGTCTGTTCCAGATTCGATTGCTTCTTGGGTTCGGTCGTGGGCTCCTTGGGTTCGGTCGTATTGTCGTTGTTTGCCCCCGTTCTTGGAGCCACAGTAAAGTTAGATACCTGTCTAGGAAGCCTGAAACGTTCGAGCTGTCTAGCCATACTGATTCTATTGAGCCTGAAGGGTCCATTGTTCACTTCAGATTCCTTTTGCTGATTCCATCGGTCGTGCTGATCGTTCGGTCTCGGCGTTTCTTCCTCATCGCTGCCACTACTCGACATCAATGATGGCCTTGTGGCACTAGCGTCACTACTTGTGTACCCACTATCGTCTTCTACCGCGGGTAGATTCTGAAAGATTTTGTCATTTTGTCGCGCCATCTTACTTCCGCTATTATAACAATCGGTGTTCTCTTTCTTCGTTCGTCGTATTCCTGTAGAAAAATGTAATAAATTTCATTCAATTATTATAAAGTAGCCTATTTCCTAATTATTAATAAACTCACAACTTCCATGGTAAGTTAAAAATGTGGTAAACGAACTCTTAAATAACTGTATCGCAACATTCTCCCTCCGTAGAGAGGGAGACGTTGTTCATTTATTAGTAATTGTAAAATTAGTGACTCTTAAAGTGAGTCATAAGTCATGTGCTGTAATAGTCAGCAAAAACCAAGTTTATTAGATTATTCTGATAAACTGTTAAAAACTATAATAACGAAAATAAACAACTAAAACCTAAGTACTTGTATTCTGACCACAACTTATTTGATGTCTATGAGCAAGTTTGCCATGACTCTCTGAAATTGTACTGTGAGTGAGTGTAGGCCAAACGGCGCTGGCTTGAATGAGTATTGCGCTCCTCTCCACAAGAATGTGAAGAAATGTTGGCTTGCTTCGTCTACAAAAGAGTGGCAAAAATCTCCGTGAGATCTAGCTATGAGAAGGATTCCTTGTAGTTGTGTAATACCTCGTTTATTTTTGGCAGCACGAATTATCTTGTTCATGTTGGTAATTGATCTCGCGTAAGTCTTAACATGTTCTTACTTTCTTGAGGAGACCTGTTTGTTCATGTTCCCCTGTTGATAATAAGCATAATTGTACTGTTGTAGTCAGGAAGTCCCTGATAGGGTTTATTTAGGATTATGGTTTATTTGATATTTGAGTTTTATTAAAGACTACATTTTGAACTGGGTTTATCCAATCAGGTTAAAACTGATTAACGGAAAATACATGACCAAAATGATAGTCGCAGGATTTAGTTCAATAAATGAACAACGTCTCCCCTTGACGAGGGGAGTACGTTGAGATACAGTTATCCTCAACTACTTACTACATTTTTAACTGACTTAGATGTTGTACATTAATTGAGCTTATCCTACATAGGAAAAGAAGATAATAGGAACGAGAGGTCCACAGATAGAAGTAGAATTATTTTTTTATGACACAAAGAAGAGAGAAAGTCCTAGGCATCAGTAGACATCAGCAACTGAAATGAAGATTTCCAACACGACCGAACCATTGTTAAATGACACGGATAGTGGATTTATTAGTAGCGATACAAGCGATAGCATGCCCGCACTTCTACTAAACAGCAGTAGTGCTTCAGAACATGAAATGACGGAGGGAACCGTAAGAATACAGGGGCAGGCGAGCCGTGTGGGTCAACACAACCGTAGAATACAATCTCATGTACATCGACAGGTAGACAGGTTAGATGAGAGGGGAAGACGACTAGAGGACATAGAAGTTAGCAGTCAGGAGACCCAAAGGACATCAACGATAGATAACACAACGGAGAATCGATTCAGAGAAAATGTTGTGTGGGAACAAGAGAATAGGAATCCGACGACCACATTGACATGGACTCTGCGGACCATGCCGCGACAAGAGGAGCGCACGGAGCCATGGGCATCGATACCGGAACGAGAGTCGACTCAAATCAAGAAGGATATCCAGAAGAATAAGGAGGATTTGGACGAACTGTAGACGGTATTAGAGGGTCAAGGAAAACAAAAAAAAGTCAGGTAGGTGTATACGTTTGAGCATCGCCATGGCAACGAGCACGAAGTACACGTGTGTACAGGCCTCCAAAAGGTACGTAAGAAATCGGGTACAGGAATAAGAGAGAGAGGCATGATATGGGATAGATACTTAAGTAATCATGTGTAAACTAACTAGGTTATTAGTAGAAGACATATGTTTGCAAAGAAATGACATGCACACGTATACACTAAAGGAAGATGCACATGCAATGACAGTCATACAGCAAGTTCGGGTACATAAGATAAAAGATACAAAAACAATAGGAGTGGCACGACGCTACATAGAACGATAGGGTGTGTGTACACAGTACTAAATTGAGTACACGAGGGAGTGAGAATTGTAAATGTGCATATGAATAGTCCGACCAAATTCGTCGATTTCAATGTGAATATGAATATACCGTATGAGTTACGGTAGACAAGTGTGGTGTGAGAACGTGCAGCACCAAGACACAGCGACGACGAGGATAGGCAGCAATCTAGCCAACTAACTAGGGTCAGAGCCAAAAGTGAAACGGGTGAACGTGGGTAGCAAAAAAAAACATGTGTACGGAACGATAGAGCAAGAACATGAGTAGTAAAGAACCCACAAAACGAGTAATGGCATGGGTTTCGAGAGTACGGAGTTGGTCGGAAGGAGTAAAGAGCAGCCGCAAGGATAACCGGGGTAGTTTGGAGCACGAGGTTCAAGTGTGGACGATGTTAGTGCAACAAGACCAAGGCAGGGGTACAAAAACATATTGATGAGAGAACGGTTAATGGGACTTCGAGTGATTTGTAGGCGTGAGATGAACAGTCGAATGCCTATTTAAGTCAGAAGAAAAAGAAGTTGAAACAGATTGCTATCAATAGACAAACACAAGTTTACTTCAACCATGGCTAACGTTCGACAGAGTCGTCGGCAGCAACAGCTATCCCCAGAACAACGTGAACGGGATGACATCCATCAACGTGGCTTCCTAAGCGGATGGAGAAGTGTCGGAGGACTTAGAGTCAGAACGTTGAACTAACCAAACAATACTCCAGTGGACACTAACAGCACAACAACAACGCGACGGGCTAGACTAAACGACGTATCCCCGAACTAATGAGAACACCACATTCGACGTCGCAGGCTCACTACCAGGAGGGGACAACTCCTCGAGAGGCATGAACGGTGTTTGCGTCGACTGTGACGAGGGAACACACCTTCATCATCGGACAACATCGAGTTCCGCATTAGAGGAGCCGACAATGTCCGTCATGGGTTAGGGGACACATCGTCGGATCAGGACGAAAGCGATACACAACAGGAAACGATATCTCGTCAAAAGGTTGCAAAGAAACAACGTAGAGCTACACAGAACCCTCACGGGAGGGAGGCACTGGATAGTCGACGTGACAATATGGACACATCTTTATAAGCACAACGTCAGAGGCAACATTTTGTACGAGAAGCTATGAATGACAGTCTACCGTCACACAGGATGCTTGAACGCACACCGTCGAGTCAAGCCACGTCATCGGAGAAGCGTTGATGCTTGGCTCAGCAGGCCACACCTCATACACCAGACAGAATAGCGGCGGACCGCCAAGCCTTGCACGCGCGTATGCTCAAATTGTCGGAGGATTTATGTAGTGCAATGGAAGCCAACAACTTGCCACGAGCGGAGGCACTAAGAGGTGTACTCGAGACATTAAGAGCAACCCATGACTCACGACCGGCGAACAAACAGGAACCACGAAAACCACGTAGTTGGCCGGAGTGGCCCTCGAACTGGTATAACCTCAGCAACATTATGGAGCGCGACACTCAAGGGGCATTGCGAGAAGCCCGTAAGAATGCGCAGATTTCGGGTCTTGACGAAGCATAGAGTCTTCGTTGGTTTTATAAAGTGATAAGCCAATTTGAAGCAAAAATAATCTACCTAAAAACCCTAAACCCTATATAAAATCTAATCACCAACGTTTAGTTGCATGGACACCAGAGTTCCAAATAACACAAATCGACCTCATATTTCGCAAATTAAAAAAAGGACACCAGAAACTCAGTCGTTCGTCCCATGGTTGAGGTACTGCCTCACATACGATGCGTATCGAACGTGTTATCTCCTTGTGCCGACGCTCCATTGCCCCCAGCACCTGTGATCTGTAAGGTGGTGATACTTTGTGAAGTATACCCACTGCCTTGACAATGAGGGCGACCATGTTGTTCGTAAACTCATTACCCTGATCTGTCTTTAACTTGCGAGAGAAGCCACGTTTGCCAAAGATAGACAACAACATCTGCGCGGTGGTTTCCTTAGTCTTATCGGGTGTAGCACGTAAGATCGAATAGCCGGAAGCCACATCTAATACACGGAGGACAAATTTATTCTGTCTTGTGGACGTTACCGGCATTGGATTATAGTCCACCTGAATGTGATCCCAAGGGTACTTTGCATCAATTCTATCATCAGATGGAAGCCTTTACGTAGAGTATCCTGGCCCAAACACTGTACACACTGCCGTTTAATTTCGGTAGCCAGTTCTAATGCCCCCGGCCAGACATGGCCGTTCTTTTGTAACTGTTGGACAGTATCGGCAGCGCCGTGGTGGCCTTGCTCATGCTGTGCCTGTATGAGGTGTGTACGTCGTTGTTGTTCCATCGGTGTGGCATTCGCAAAGGTCGGTTGTGCTCCCTCACTAGATAACGCTAAGGAAATCTCTCGTGTCGTATCCAAAAACTGATGGTATGGTGTGTGTCGAGGTTCGGCATAGCCCAATCTTTGTGTAAAGCTCTCGGCGAGCTGGAAACCTGACGGCGGCCCCACTCGTTCAACGACCGTATGTCCCCACGTCGTCTTTCCACAGGCATACTTCGCGTACTTTCGAAATGTATACGGGGTCCGGGGTACTAACATTGGCTCGATGTGTAATAAAGATTTGAAAATGTCAAACCATGATACGCGAGGTGTCCAAGGTAAGCACTCCGTCGCTGTAGCCCCATCCGCTTTGATCTTCCGAAGCATGCGATGTATCAACCTCCACGGCGGATTCATCCATCTGTCAACGAACGCCCAGTTATGATCAAATGCACCGTCGCGCTCGTTCTTTGTCCAAAACCTAGGAAGCTGTGCGTTATGAGGTGCTGCGAACACGTCTATGTTGCTGTGTTCAAAGATACGCTGTGCTTGTTCGAAGTAGCTGGGAAAGAGAGACTACAGTAGTAGACGTATTTCTATATACGTTAATAACGTTTTACGTCGTCAGCCCGAGAGTAATTTGGGACTTGTTCTCAATTAATATAAGTATAGGTGGGTCAGCCCGAGAGAACGTAAAAGTAATTTGAGACTTCTTCTCAGATTATTCTATTTATAGAATACAAACCACCGGCTAACCGAGAGCCGAGGTCCGAGACTGAGTGTAGTAACAGAAAATATGATATATTTATTTCTAGAAAATATGTCCGGGTGCTAAAGTGTTCTGCATAAGGTTTTAGGGTTTTTTTGTTCTAGTCTCTAGCACTATGGCTTGTATTTTGGATCTTTTGGTTTTATGTTTTTCCTAGCAATTTCAGGGCGTATTTTCATACTGTTTGGACAGAAATTCCTAAAATATGACAAATTTCCTGGAAAAAAAATGCGAATTTACTACCCTATGAAAACCAGGAACCAAATTGTTCCAGGAAGGTTTGCAGGCCCTAACCTCAAACCGTTTTCCGTTGAAACTTGTTTACGTTAAACTTTTATTTCATATGCGGTCCTTTGTATGCACATAGGTACAACTCGCGGGTCTAAACATTTAAATGTGTACCATGTTCACGATACGAACCAGTCCTATAAAAGAACTTAGGTAGACCCTTCTGATCACATTATAACCGTTATAACGTTTAAAAAATGATCAAATATGCGATTACGTTCAACTTCTATCCGTATCCCCATAACGTTATTAGCCTTGCCCATGATATTGATGTAATGGTGACGATTCTCGAGTCTCGTCACTATCTCGGAATTTTCAGCTGTGATTTTCAGTGATACCGTGAGATCGTAATAGCAATATATAAATACCATAGCGACATAGCCTGCCGAATTATTTACGTACAGTCTTTTTTTCAAAGAGAACAAATACTGTGTGCATGTACTACAAATTTTGTTATAAATATTTAGCAATAGCCCAGTTAAAGTACAAATAGCTAGTAGAGTACTCCTAGTTAATACTAGAACAGATAATCTGTGTTTTTTTCAATAGAATTCTAAAAAACCTTTTTCAAAAGAATGCTCTACTCTAGAAGAGGAGTAGATGGATAGTCCACCAGAGTCGTCTTGTTATTTTATAACTTTATGTACGTTACAGTAATTGAAAAGACTCCTGTCCGTGCGCCTGAGGGCTGAGGAGGTCTGAGGCCTGTGAGGCTGAGCTGACTATTTTTTTGGGAAGTACTATTATTTTGTAGCCAAAGTGTTTGTCTATAAAAAAAAGTTAATACTTTTTCGACAATTCACATACATACGTAGCCCTCTAAATCTTTTTTTTATAAATAGGCATATATAGTGATGTACAAACATACATACACACTTACATTGTTTTTTTAATTTTAATTCTGTACGTAAATAAATAAAAACATAAATATTTCCAAGTAAAAAAGATAGGAAGTATTTAGATACATAGTGAAAAAATAAAGTTGAGTTGACGTCTTTCTATAATAAACTAAAAATATAAAAACAAAAGAACAGGACTCATTTTTTTTACCAAAGAACTAAAATAAAAATATTTTTTCATTCTTCTTGTGAATTTTGAATTTTGCACTTCTTGATTTTCAAATTTGTCCTGCGGACTCGGAGTGCGGACTGCGGAGTCGCGGACAAACGACAAAATAAAACTCAATACTGAATAGATACAGCCTGACGTCTGTACTATGTGGAGGGTAGACTGTAGACTGTAGACTGTAGACAGCAGACCCCTGTATTCCTGTGTAGACACTGT